TTTGTAGTAACGACTGTGTTGACTTCAATTCTGGAGTGTGGTAGCTGTGTTAAAGATAACGATTTGGTCTTATTGAAGCCAACACAGAACTTGCTGCTGTGTTTTTTCTTCAATGATAAATAAAATACTTACAGAATTTGTTTTTGTGTTGGTTTGTGGTTATACTTAAACTGTTTTGTTTATAATGGTGATGTTTGCATATTCAGTTGATCTTACTTGAGTTTTACCCGTGCCATTAATTGTCTCATTGCGTAGTAGTGAAGAAAGTAACCTAAGTATACTAGAAAGCAAATGTGGCTAGGATGGTTGCCCTAAGACGTCCTTCATGAATTTGGACCCCTTAGTTTTCCTTTAATGTGTTGTCTCTGTGAGCTTATGCATTGCGTGTGTGTGTGTGCTGGTGTGCACGTATGGGTCTGCTGTACTAGCTTGGGTCTTCCTCTGAAATTAGAAAAATCACAATTCAGAGAATGTTAGTTGCAACTTTATAGTGGCTGTAGGCACTTAACAAAATGCTGATCAGTATTTCAAGTGAGAACTCATCCGTGCATCTGGCTACTTTTCTCTTAGTAGTTTTGGCAACCTATAGTTAGTTCTTCATTATTGTTCCACAAACCAGTGTTTTGTTCTTCAATAATAGTTCAGCTGTAGACACACTGTTGTAGTAATTATCTTGGTAATTATGATGCCAAGCACCAGGAAAAGGCCGGAAGGTGGATAACAGTCTGTTGTAACTTTCTGCCTTCACCCATATATATCTCAAAGTTGCAAAAACTTTCACAAAGCATCCTTACTAGAATTCCACATTTTATTATTTTTGCCGGATTATACGTCTTGAATCTGATGGAGTCATTGCTTCAAGTGATAACTGTTGTTTTGGTATATATAAAGATTTAAATTTCAAGATACAGTGATCCAAAAGAGGTCTGACTTTGTAAAGATGGTCTGTGTTGTGTTGTTTGTGAATTACCAGTCAGATGAAAGAATAAGTATTTGCTCGAACCTCTTTCCAGTCATATATTTTGGAAATAATGGGCGATTCAAGTAAAGGATTAGTTGACCAGTAACCTTTTAATTCTGGCCTTTTCCTTAGTCTCATCAATATAATTAAACCAAAAAACTTCTTTATATCCATATAAGTAACATCCGTGCATGGTGAAGTTTTAGCAGAGGTTGTGTGGTATTTTTCCATTTGGTGATGGTATAAATTGGTCTGAGAAGTAATGAGATCGAGAAAATCCTTATCCAAAAATTGGTTACTTCATTTATACTTACTTTGTGGGTCTTCAAATTGAACAGTTATGCCTGAAATATTTGTATGATCCTCCAAGGCTGGTAAAATGTCTTTTTCTGCCCATTCTTCAGAATCACTTTCACTGTCGGATACTATCATTTCTCTTTTGCCTTCGTGATGGTCTAATGTCAGACGCATTACTATCTCCTGACAAAGTACTTACCTTCCAGCTGACTACCAAAGTCACTTAGCCAATCAAAGTGTCTGCACATAATTCACTCAGACATTTGGCACTTCTTTTTTAAAAACCTTTGCCATAATAAAATATGGATGGAAAGAATTAGATGTATTGCTCATCATGTCTCTGGAAATACTGTCTGACGAGTTGAGAAAAAGACAGGAGCAGTGTTCAGACCGGAAACAAGTACACTCGTGGGCAGTCAGCAAGGTGTTAAATTATTTCTCATAATGACTAGTGAGAATTCCTGTTGGTACAGCTGTAAGGCCAGAAGAGGGAGTATTGGTGCTCTTTTACTTAAATAGTATCAGATGCAGCCTTTTCTGTGATGTTACCAATGATGGAAACTACTTTTAAAACATTTAGCTTCCTTTCTAAATAAGTAGAAGTCTTTGAAAATTCTTTTGTGGGGAGAGGACCTTTTGTTTTATAACAAGTAAAAGAAGTTGGGGCTGTGACCTGTTCTGAGTCTGAAGTTAGTAGAGCCGAACTGTACTGACATCAAGGCCTCACTGGACAATTCACTTAGGCGGGTTTGTTTAGATGAGTTACAGGTGCATGTCTGCTGATTAGGCTTCCAGGCTCCTCTGCAAGCCCACCCTTTCTGTCAGGACCCTTTTCCAGACCTACTGTTCTCCAAGTTTTGCCTTGGCAGTCAGAATCTGGGGCATTGGGTGAGAGAAGTCTGCTGTCGGTTTGTGATCCTGCCCTTAAGTTTCCACTCTCAGGGCCTTACACCCTCTACACCCCACCCCATCCCCCATGTGTTTTATCACCCGTGTCAAAGCTGACCAACTTACTAATGAGAAGTCATCCATGTTCCCAGTGGCTACTGCATTTTTAACCCTTTGAGTGCCAACCAGTATCCTAGGAACTGCTAAAATCGCCAAGGCATTTGCTGATTTTACAGCAGTTTAGGAAAAAAATGATGAATCGCAAGTAAATGAAGTTACATATTCAAAAACTTAAGGAAACCTTTACTACATTTGTTTTCTGCACTTAGGTGCCATCTGTCAATAAAGAGTGAACTACGAGCATCTAATAGTATCTAACAGTGACGCTGCAGGAGGAGCGCGATGGTGCTCCTGGCACTTTTGGCGAAGGACAGGAGGAGCGCAGTCGCACTCCTGGGCACTCTCGGGGTTAAACGAGAATACCGTTACTTTCAATGCAGGTGGATGAGGGTGGGTAGAGATAGCGGCTAAAAAAAACCACTACAATCGCCGAGGCCGGTTTGGCTCAGTGGATGGAGCGTCGGCCTGCGGGCTGGGGGGTCCCAGGTTCGATTCCGGTCGGGGGCGTGTACCTGGGTTGCGGGCACATCCCCAGTGGGAGATGTGCAGGAGGCAGCTGATCGATGTTTCTCTCTCATCAATGTTTCTAACTCTCTGTCTCTCTCCCTTCCTCTCTGTGAAAAATCAGTAAAATATATATTTTAAAAAAACAAAAAACAAAAACAAACACTACAATCTCATTAGTTGTCCATAGTGGCTACCAGGAGGAAGTTGGCATCTGTATGTGTGGGATATTTTTGTCAAGGATTACCTGTTGTTTTTTACCATTTTGATCGTGGATTTATAATTTTACAAGGCTGACACATATGGGACACTATGGGAGGTATGTTTCTCATGTGGCCAAAAACAGAAAATGAGGACTAAAAACTTGCCTTTTCTGTCCCTTAAAGTACATATATTTGTGGTATAATTTCTAAACATGTAATTTTGGCTTGTGATAAATCTTTGCCAGAGTTAGTAATTCTGCAGCTTCCAAAAAGGACTTCACAGGAAAATTAAAATTCAAAGACATTAAAAGGCACTGGAAACGTCTCCAGAGACAGGAAGGAGGCTAAGGCCATCCATGCCTCCGCGGTTGGTAAGGCTCCTGAGCATTCCAGTGTTTTGCTTTTAGCCAAATATGTAGTATGTTCTTACGAAAATAGGTTTTTTCATGTTATCTTTTAAACTTTGAAGAATCGGAAGGTTGATTTTAAATAGTGTGTTTAAAATGCTTTTCATAAGGGGTCTCTGGAGTATTAACGGTATTAACAATCTCTTCATATAACACTTTTAACGTTAGCTGGGAGAGTAATGCAGATTTGAGAGGGAGTGAGTGATATGGGGGTGTTTCAAGTTGGCTAATGTAATGGTTGCCAAACTAATTGTGAGGGTCTTCTGGATACCTTCCCCAATACTCTTCTGACATGGACTTGAACTCCTTGTTCAGTGTGTTCCCAGTTAGGCACATCCCACCAAGGGATTTGTATATTGAAGATATATTAAAGCTACATGCCTGAGCCCTGGAAACTGTGTCTATAATTTGGCTCTTAAAATACAAAGTAGCTGCCTGCTACTCCTGGTCTTGAAGAATATACTGATCTGTTTATAGTGACATGAAAAGTAGAACAGCAGTGGGAGTGGTAACAAATTCATATTAACCTGAAAACTACCCCCAAAGCACAACAAATTTAAGCTGATGTATTTTCTAGCAAAATGAGAGTAAACACATGGCTTTAAGCTGCTTGATTTTGGGCCCAGTCAAATCTGAAGTTCTAGGGCCTGGGGACTACGGCCCGCCGGATCCGGCCCGTTTGAAATGAATAAAACTAAAAAAAAAAAAAAAAAAAGACCGTACCCTCTTATGTAATGATGTTTACTTTGAATTTATATTAGTTCACACAAACACTCCATCCATGCTTTTGTTCCGGCCCTCCGGTCCAGTTTAAGAACCCATTGTGGCCCTCGAGTCAAAAAGTTTGCCCACCCCTGGGCTAGACTATCAGGAGTGGATTTCTTCCTGGCCAAGAAACAGTATGTCCTCCATCCCTCTCCCTTGATGCACCTTCCCTGAACAAAAAGGCTCAAAGCTCTCCCCAAGGTTATCTACGCCAGCCTCCATCACACCTTCAAAGTAGTGTTCAAGCCAATTTGCTGTGGAGGAAGGTAGCTGTTTAGTATGAAAGTCTAGCCTCTAATAACCTAGCTAAACTTTGAGAGTTCATGCATTTTGTGTTTCAGGTGCATTTCATCTTTATTTCCATTTTTGCCTCTTGTCTTGATAGCTACATGTCATGCTATGGCATTGAACTTGGTGGATTTAAAAATGAGGGTGGGAGGTAAAGTAGTGGTTAAGAACCTTTGATTAAGGATCAGGTTTAATATCATGTATGGTGGGGTTCCAGAAACAAACTGGAGTCTTCCAGTGAGAATGGGAACATAGGGAGGTCTTGCTCCTTGTCTCCAACCCCCTACTCTGTACATAATGTTTATTCTGGTTTGAGGACTGCCTAAAGCCAGACAGCCCAGAGTGGAACCTTCTTGAACACAGATTATTACATTAACCTTCCGGAGTGCAGAGGACTTCATCTTCCATTTAGTTTGAAAGGCAACAGGTGGAATGAGCTTTCCACTAGTTAGGAACCCTGACATGGAGTGATTCAGGGTCCATTCTCCCTCTCATCTCAGTGTCACAGTGTTGTTAAAGAACTGGAAAGGGGGAGGTGCACAGACAAAAAGCCAAGTAGCAAAGTTATAGGTAAGAGTAATGAATTCATATACTGTTACTGTATAAATACACAAGTCAATTTCTTTTAACAGCACCATTTCCAAGTGTATACACAACATGATTTATAGCGGCACATTTTTTAAAGGTGGGAAATGTTAGTTGCTACTTAAGTAATAAAAGACCTGGTACATAAGAGAATAAGGAGCTGTGTTCTACCTGCTACAGACGGTGCGTTTTTACACCTCCCGCTAGGACAGAAACAAGCCACACGGAGGGAATGCCCACACAAAGTAATACCGGAAAGTTTACTAAACCTTCCCTTCTCCAAGCGGACTCTACCAGGGGCTCGCTTCACCTGGAATTAGAATAACTGAGTAAGGACAACTAAATACTGTTTCAAACAATAAAAGTCATTTTGCCGACATTCCATAAAATCGCCACTTCTAAGTTCAATAAAGAGGCTTTTAAAAAAATATTCTAGACCTAGTAAAGTGCCTCCATTAATACAATTAAACACCCAAGATTAGACTGAGACAATTTCATTCCGATGCGCATCTAAAATAGGTTGAAGTATAGAGTAAATAAATAGCGCCTCTAAGTTGCCACGTTTCCGTTAGTGGGATACACAGCCTTCACCGTCCGGATGTGCACAGACTAGAAACTAGAGATAAATCAAGATTTTAGCGTCTTGTCTCAACCACAGGACTCCGAACGGCCGGCTTGCTTTGAAAAAACAAAACAAAAACCAAGACGACATCCCAAGGAGAACCGAGGACCGAGCTCCACGCCTCCCCAACAGGAAGAGACGGTGCGCAGACCAAACAGGAGAGTGGGGGGCGGCGACCCCGGTGGCCTCCGGCGGTGGCGGGCCGGCCTCAGCGCAGCTTCTTGCCGGGCAGGCCGTCCCTGGGGCAGCGCGGGGCCGGCCGGGCGGCGGGCGGCGGCACTTTGGAGAGCGGACAGTACTTGATGGTGTGCGCGTTGTCGCCGCTGGCCCCGCACAGGGGACACGTGTAGCGGCGCAGCACCGGGCACAGCACTCGCCCGTCGGGTCCCTTCAGGATGTGGGTGGTGTAGAGCGCCACCGCCTCCTTGTTGTTCCGGCAAAACACGCACACCTGCAGCTCGGGCTTGAGCAGCCGGGCGGCGGCCGCCCCGGAGGCCGCGTGCAGCCGGGGTTCGGCCGCCCACGCCAGGGCCCGCTCCTCGCGTGGTGCCGCCTCGGCGGTGGCCGCCACGGCGGGCGCGCAGCCCAGCAGCACGGCGGCGGCGCGACCAGCGAACGGGCTCAGCTCGGCGAAGCGCTCCTCCAGCAGCCCGGCCTCGGCGGGGCCCGCGCACAGGTCCAGCGCGCCCCCCAGGTAGCGGGCCCGGGACCCCGGGTCGTCGCTGTCGTCGTCGTCATCCTCTTCGTAGTCCGGCGGCCCCAGCGCCGGCCCCAGCGCCCCGGGCCCGGTCCCCGCGTGGGGAGAGCAGCAGGACGAGGAGGAAGAGGAGGGCGGGGAGCCGCCGCCGCCGCGGTCTCCGTTTCCGCCGCGGGCGCAGCCGAAGCGTTGCTCGCCGTCCACCGCCTTGGTGATGAGCGTGGCAAGCCCCAGATAGTCGTTCCACGAGCTGAAGGGTTGCGGGTGCGCTGGGCCCTGGGCGCTCACGTAGTGGGCGCTGGGCACGAGCGCCATGGGCGGGGGGGCGCGGCCGCGGCGGGGCGAGTGGGGCGCCCAGGGGAAAGCCTCCATGGGCGGGCTGCGGGCCGCGCGCGCCGCCTCCCCGCCGCCGGCGCGGGCGGGACGGAAGGGACGCGCGGAGCTTGCCCGCCGGCCTGCCGCGGGGGTGGGGCCGCCTTGCCGCCTTTTATCAGGCCCCGCTCCTCCCCGCCCCCCGGCCTGGCCGCCGCCGCCGCCCTGCCCCCTGCGCTCCCCAGCCCCGGCCACCTCGCCCGCGCCCGGGACGGAGGCGGAGCGGAGGCGGGCGGGCGGGCAGTGCGCGCGCTCCGCTCCGGCCCCAGCAGCTCCGGCGCCCAGCGCGCTGCGCCAGCTTTGCCAGCTGCGGGGCGGCTTTCATTCTGGGAGGGGGCGGGCGAGGCGCCTCCACGGGCTCCGGCGCTAATTGGCTGCCGACCAGAGCCCCCGGCGCCACGGGTGCCGCTCAGGACGCTGATTGGTGAAACGGGGAAGGGGCGTGCCCTGCCCGCGCACCCGGCGGGGAGGGGCAAGTGGAGCGGAGAGAAGAGCCGGGGAGGGGCGGCTGCTGGGGTCCGCCCTCGCCCCCGCCCCCGCCCCCGCCTCTGTGCCCTGGGTTGGAACAGGTGACTAGGACTGGGTTGGAACAGGTGACCAGGGGCTCCCTTGCCCTGGTGGTGATGCTCGCCGAGGACGGGAGCGGGTAGGTATGGCGGTGGGCGAATGCCCCGACATTCACGCTCCCATCTCCCAGCCTTCAATCCTCTGGGCCAGAAGCCCCGTCTCGCCTCCCACCTCCTCACTAGCATCTGCGGGGGAACTGGGGAGGCGGACTGGGCGCGATCTGAGGATACAGTTTTCAGAGCCGCCCAGCAATGAAGCAACTTCAGTCTGCACAGCACACTGCTGAGGTTCACAGAAGTTAGAGTTCTCGCCTAGTAAGTAGTCGAGGGACCCAGCACTTTCCACGGTGGCCTCCCAGCAAGTGTTCAGAGCCTGGATGGCCATGAACTGGTGACCTAGGTAAGGATGGGGACTGGGCCAGAAAACCTTCCAGCCCTAGCGTTGGTGTGTGTGTGTGTGTGTGTGTGTGTGTGTGTGTGTGTAGCTCTCCCCCCAGTCGCCCCTGCCCCCAGGATTGTACGGAAATCTGATGGGTATGTGCAATTTGAAAAGCAAAGCATTTTCACGATCACAATTGAATACTTTGAAATGAGAACTTTTTTTTTTTTTAATATATTTTACCGATTTTTTACAGAGAGGAAGGGAGAGAGATAGAGAGTCAGAAACATCGATGAGAGAGAATCATCGATCAGCTGCCTCCTGCACATCCCCTACTGGGGATATGCCCGAAACCCAGGCACATGCCCCTGACCGGAATCGAACCTGGGACCTCTCAGTCCGCAGGCCGATGCTCTATCCACTGAGCCAAACCGGTTTCGGCGAGAACTTTTTTTTTTTTTGTAAAAACAATGGGGAAAAAAAATCCAGATTTTTGATTAGGAGGGTGCGAGGTGGTCATGCCCTTCCAGGGGAAGGTGCAACACTTTTTTGTGTTTTCACAAAAAGGCACCGGGAAGGGCCCTCACGGGGTTCCCTTCTGGTGGCGGGGCTGGCAGGGCAGGGCTCCCCCTCCCCCGTGGCTATTGAAATGGGGAGCCGGGTGGCTGGCAGCTCTCACTGGGCCTGAGGCCACGCTCACAGCTCTGGCTTCACCCAGCAGCTTCAGAAGGGCCCAGGGGAGGATGCTCAGAACCTGGGCCTGGCACCAGTTACCACTAGAATGAAGGAGTGAATCAGAATGTCAGCAGTGGAAGGGGTCTCTGGGATCATTTGATCCAATTTTTTAAAAATATATTTTTATTGATTCCAGAGAGCAAGGGAGAGGGAGAGAGAGAAGCATCAAGGATGAGGGAGAGTCATTGATCAGCTGCCTCCGCACGCCCCCTATTGGGAATCAAGCCCGCAACCCGGGAATGTGCCCTTGACCAGAATCAAACCTGGGACCCTTCATTCTGCAGGCCCATGCTCTATCCACTGAGCCAAACCAGCTAGGGCCAGTCTTCCTGTACGGATGAAGAAAATGAGACTCAGGGGAGAGAAGGACTTCTTTTAGATCACCTGGTGACTATGTACCAGCAAGAACTAGGACTTGGGCCCCATCACCCCTGGCTTGGTGGCCTTCCTGCCATACCATGGACCCCAAAGGCATTTTGGCATCCATGTGTGCATCAGCCGAAATCAAGTGTAGAACACGGGAGACACTGGACGATGGAGCCGTGCCTTTGGCTTGGGCTGCTGTCCTCAGGGGTAATCCAGGGGCCAGGTGGCAGGCACAGGGAAGGACTGGAGGCAGTAACGTGATCCTGTTCTGGCCACCTGTCCGTGTGAGGGGTTGAAGATGTGTTTTCCTAGTCTCTTCCTCACCTCCTACTCCCCGAAGCTTGATTTAAGTCCCGAAACCAGGCAGTAATATTCTGCACTTGCCAACCCAGTTCCTTTTTCAAGTTTGTGTTGGCACCCGAATGAAAAAGCCATTCCTTTATTTCCTCCCCTTCTCCCACCAAAAATAAATACAAGAGCCCGTAAGGCGTGAGGCTCCTGCAGAAGCGTGGCAGGTTTGCTGACACAACTCTGAGCTCTAGCCATGAGAACGAGGCCCCCAGAGTGGTATGAAGGTTATTATTCTATAAATGGAAAATTCCACTCTGTTCGCACGGCCCTGCAGCCTGCATACTTTCAAGGTATGCAGACCTTGCAGGCGCTGAGGAGTGGGGGCCTCTGTTCTGAGGACAACTTCTGCCAGGGGAGTTTCAAACCGCCAGCTGCTGCGTTTGATTCCCTGGGTCAGCCCAGGGAGGGGATGGCCAAAGCGAGGCCTCTCTCCTCTCCTCCATGTTGGCAGCCTGCGGTTTGACCAGGAGAATAAAAACCTGGAAGTGCACCTGAAAAAGAACAAACGCCTTGATTCAGAGCTGCAGGCTGGGTGGTGGGTAGCGAGGATCCCCAGGAGACGCCCTGCAAAGGGGTGGACGGGACCTCATTGTGTCCGCAGGGTCTGGCTCCGTGCTGTTTCCACAGGCTGCTCACCTTGTCTGCTCCCAGCCCTGTCCACGGTCAAACACCAGTAAGTCTTTGACCCGGAAAGAATATCTGGGAGTGGGGCCCAGCGTGCACGAAGGCTTTTGTTTGGGGGACACACTGGCTCATGCACTGGGTGGTCATAGGAAGGCCAGGGTGGGTGCCTGGCCCCGCTCGGGGTTAACTGTACAGTGACTTTTGTTGCCAAGCCTAGGCCGCAGCCTGGCCATGAGCTCTCGGGCTCTCTTTGAGGCGGTGGGACTGACTTCAGAGATGCTCTTAGCCCCTCCGATGAGCCTGCCTTTTCTTCCCTTTCCAGAAGTCTGAAAGCAGACGGGGCTAGCGGAGTATGGCAGTGCCTTCAAAGGGCCACCTCGGGTTGGTGGAAGCAGGAAGACAGATCGGGACGGGCCTGGGCACCGAGGTGAGAGGGTGATGCTCAGGTTCCTCCTGAGTGGGCCTGTGGGCACAGGCAGGAGGCTCTGGCAGGGCAGGGGTGGGTGGTGGGGGCGCCGATGGGCTCTGCACCCCCACCTCTTCGCGTGGCCCCCGGCCTGGGCCGTCTTCTTTGCTGGCGGCAGAACTGAACCAGGAGAGACAACACACAGACCCCAGGCTTCTTGAGGCTCTTGAGAAACATGAGGTCAGCCCTGGGGAATGAAGCAGCTTGGCGGGCGTCCAGGCAGCTACAGAGATGCTGTTTGTCAGGCTCTGGGTCCCCGCTGACTCGCCTGCCAAGCTCTTTCCAGGGGCAGGAAGTGCTGCGCCCCAGCCCTGGGGGCTTGGATGCGGGTGGGGTGCCCTGGGGCAGGTTGGGGCGCTCTCTTCTGTCACAGTGTTGACTTTGTCTACATCCTGTCTCTGGCCGAGCTCAGAGTCCTGGGTACGGTGCCCCTACCCTTTGGGGGCTCGGAGTTCGCCACAGGCAGTTGAGAAAGCAGGAGGTGAAGTGGTGGGAGCTTGCTGGGCCTCCTGCAAAGTCGCATGGGGCCTCGGACGAGGGACTTATCCACTCTGGGCCCCAGCTCCTTCCTGTCATCAGCCAGGGGCTCATGGCGTGAAGTGGCAGCCACTCTCCCCTTCTCGCTTCCTCTTGTTCCAGGTGAGCCCCTCCCTCAGCCTCAGGGATGAGCTGTGCCGGGTGGAAGGCAGCAGGAACATCCCTTTTCCCTGGGCAAGGGCTGGGGTAGAAGGGGCTGGCGACCCTGTCCCAGGCCCTGACAGAGGAGGGAGGTGTGTGAGGAGGACCCTGGGAGGGAGTTCGCTCCCTTGTTGAAAAAGAAAACAACGCCCAACAAACCACCGCACCTCCTTCTGGCCACCTTCGGGCTGCGGGCTTTGGGCTGAGGGCACCCCGAGGGGCAAGTCTTAAGGACGGAAACTGGCCCACGGGTGGTGGCGAGCCTTGGGGACATTTCCCCGGGTGACTCGGTGACTTGCTACACAAGGGAAACGTCTCTGTGGTTTCCGCCACTGAGCCCGGCTCGCTTTTGCTCGCAGCCGAATTCATCCTCATTGAAACTCGGTCGTACGAACAAGATGCCCGTGGTGAGTCTGTCGGGAAGGCAGGATACGATATTCTGGCTGGAGGGAGGGCGGTGACAACCAGGCCGGAACGGTGCGCGTGGACAAGGGCAGGAAGGAAACCGGAGACGGAGAACAGGGCTTTGCGGGCCTCTCCTCTCCCGGGCGCTGCCTGGCGAGAAGCCTCCAGCTGACAGCAGTGAGAGGACAGGTGCCTGGCCAGGTGCTGCGGACCAGGTGCTCTACCGCCTCGGCTCACGGCCGACACAGCGGCCACGCGGCCACGTGAGGCAGGCACCGCGATCGGCCGCGTGTCACAGCCGAGGGGCAGGCCGCGCAGCTCACAGGCAGCCGGGCTCCCATGGAAACCCGTGTCCCTCCCACTGCAGGGCTGGGCCTGCTCCATGCACCTGGTCCTGCTCCTCCGGCCACGGGGCTTCTGGGCACACATGGGAGAGGCCGGTAGCGGGGGGCGGGAGGAGACGGTAGAGGGAGCTGCCCTGGGCACAGCGGGGCACATTGCGCCCTGTGTCAGAGATTGCCCCCCAAGCGAAACCAATTCCGTGTCAAAATGGTCTGGTGTTTTCTGTTTA